TATACAACAAAAGGAAAAATCGATTGAAAGCCAGATGCGGTCGACCACGAATATGAGCAGGTCGACCTCATCTGGCAAACAGAAGGGAAAATCCATCTTTTAAAGCTACAGATCTAAATAATAAGGCCAGAAATCTCAACTCGAACTTCACCGGTCGACCTCAATATCATCATAGGTCGACCTCAGTCCATAAAACAGAAATAAAATAGATTAAAAGCCAGTTGCGGTCGACCACGATGATGAACAGGTCGACCGCTTCTGACGAACAGAAGGAAAAATCCCTCTTTTACATCTTTAGATTTTTTGAAAACAAAAAGAAGAAGACAAGAATCGACTCAAATGAAAAAGAGGACTGAAAGCTATACCTTATTCTTCTTCTAAGTGATGAAGATGAAGCTTTCTTTGAGTTTTTGGAAAATGGAGTTTTTGGAAAATGGAGAAGAAGATGAAGAAGGGAAAGGAGAGGAAGAATGAGTGGATGTGGTGGGATAGGGTTCTGATTGTGGTGTAGAATGAGTGGGAGAGGGTTCCTTAAATAGAGGATTGGGGGAGGTTTGGGTGGATGTTGCAAACAAACCGGTTTGGTCGGCCGAATTAAATACGCGGTCGACCTCACTAACTTGTTCGGTCGACCGTGTGTGTTCAGGTCGACCGTTATTTGTATGAGGTCGACCGTTTTATTGCTATTATTTATTTCAACCAACAATCAATTAACTCATAAATTATTAAGATAATTCGAAGAAATTACAATGCAATCACAGTTATTAAAATATAAATAAACTCATAAAAAACAATAGAAGAAATTTAAGATTGTTTTTTGTGAATTTGTTTCGGGCACTTAGGGTGAAAATGACCATATTTCCCACATTTCGAACACTTTCTTAAACTTTTGCCCAATGCAGTTCGTGCTGACTTGAATGTCCCCTTGGTCTTCCCAATTTTTGGATCTTTCACACTTCGAAGGGGTGCTGGAGGGTTTGCCGGTGTGGTGTTGTCCGTTCTCTCCCTCGCGAACTCAATTGCCCATTGAGTAAGGTCGTCCAACGTCTTAGAGACATGATTAAAAGCAGATTCACTACCACACGCGATGTCACATAAACGCTTACACTTTAGAGCCAATCCTCCATGTCTTATCAGTCGACCAACTTTCTCTGCCACATCACCTCCAACTCCAGGATGACGATTTAGTGTCTTCGCATTTTGGGTCCATCGAATCTTGAACCACGACGAGGGTAGTGCGGTGCATCCCATATTTTTTTATTACTGTAAGCATGTGTCTGCATGGAAACCCCTTAGATTCAAATAATGCACACTCGCATTTTAGATCTTGATTGGACGTAGTAAATGTTAACCGCCTTATCCGATCTGGGTTCATGTAGTTCTTCAGTATGAATGTCTCTGTTCCATCTGATTCAGTTCTTCTCTCTGCTAATACATAAGAAGCTTCATTCTCTAGTTCAGACTTGAAGATAGCAAATGTACGATGAGTGTAGATATTTTCAGCTTGCATTTCCCAAGTGCGAAGGGCATGCTTGCAGACCAACCTCGTGTGCCTAGAAGTATAATCATCCTGCACCTCCGTGAAACGCATCCCCTCCAGTGCTTCATCAATGCCCTGAACAAAACGTTGCAAGCTGTATTGAGTTCCCACATACCCATTTATCCAATGGTTACATGACTCACATCGCGAGGTTGATTGGAGTCCACCGAAATAAATATCCTTCAAGTATGCCTCTGCCCACAGTAATTTGTCAGCGTAAATATCCTTCAAGTATGTCTGGTCTTCATGTTAGCGCGTACCATTTTCTGCACCATGTTTTAGTTGAGATGAATTGACATGGTACTATATAAATAACTAGGTTATGACAAATGATTTGACATTACGGCTCTTACCGAAAACATATTTGGCAAATACCACACATTTGGCTCTTTCACATCATGTTTTTCAGACATTGTTAGTGCCCTTGCACACATATCCACTACCTACCATCCAACAATCAAACACAAAATCATCGTAAACCGTAACATAAATAGTGCACAATTCATACGAAAGTCGTAGTAGTATAGTACTTACTGATGAGCAAACCCAGCTATTCTCGCTAATGACCGAACTCAAATAACGTCGTTGCACGTTTTCAGAAAAAAAGTCCACAACGGTCAAACTGCAAAAATCAAAATAACAATAATGTCAATTGTGATTTGCAACGTACAGGTTGACATGTTCACAGTCACGGTCGACCTTATTGGAAAAGCGGTCGACCTCATGACCTAAACGGTCGACCACACGTACTAAAAAATGTCTTACTTGTCCCAATTCTTGTCCCCAGCCTTCTCTTTAGTAACAACATAATACAAGTCTTCAACTGGATTTTGAAGATTTTTGGTGAATCCTTCTAGACCCTCCACTTTCATGACCTACAAATCATAGTTAAAATTAAAGTAACATATGAACACAAACACACATTATAGATGAATATGTAACGTAAACTTACCCCGTGCTTTTCGAAAGGACTCTTAGATTCATCTTCATCGCTATCAGCACTAAATAATCCTTTTCTTACAAATGGATCCTTCTGTGGAGTGGTGTAGGAGTCACTTTCATATCGTGATCTCTTGTACTTAGGAGAGGAACCCTTGCTGCCATTCGTTGTTTCACTCTGTCAAACATATAAACAAAACAAATTAGCACTAATGATAGTAATACTAATATCTTCAATCACATATGAATATACTTAAATACCTTTAAAATGTGCTCTTTCAATAAATCGTCTATGCTCTGGTAGCAATTTTCAGAGTCATCATGGTCTTCTTCCTCTTTACCAAAGTCAAATTTCTTTCCTTTACCATTTCTTTCGCTATTCTCCATTCGTTCTGCACTTATATCTTTGATAGCACCTTCTAGCCTCTCAAACCCGTCATGCATCATCCCAGTCATATCTGTCAGTCGAACTGACAATTGCTCCACTCTATCACGCATGGACTTCTGAAAGTCATTGACTTGTGTTTGACACACCACCAGCTTCTCTTGTGCGGCTTTCAACAATTTCATGATTTCACCCAAATCTTGATGCAGTTTCTCATCATGCGTCATTGTCTAAACAATTTCAAGAAAAATTTAAATCATAATTCAACTACAAATTTCTACAATTGACCAAAAAACAAAGACGTGGTCGACCTGACAAAGTATTAGGTCGACCAGGAAGACAAATAGTGACTACCACAACCATTAAGGTCGACCTTTGTTATTCCTAGGTCGACCTATCCAGCAGGAAAATAACAATTAACAACAAAAAGTAAGTTCAAAATTAAACCGGAAAAAGGATAGGTCGACCAGATATCTGGCGCGGTCGACCTTTTCAAGCACAACATAGTCATACAATCAAAGCCAAAGTCGACATTCAGGTTGAATAACCAAAAAAAGAGGAACGGTCGACCTTGAAACAATTCAGGTCGACCAATTGGGTTACCTCGCAAGTACAGAAATCCAAGTGTTGTGGCCTAAATTCAAATACGCAGAATTGTCTCGTCAGGTCGACCTGGTTGACGTCACGGTCGACCGAATGGAATTCTGCACCCAACAATATATCAAATTAGCCGGTAGAAATCACGCATTAGAAAAGAAGACGACGAATGGTACATTAGGTCGACCTCACCTTAGACCTGGTCGACCACTTCCAACGCGTACAACAGCAACCGCGAACGATCTTCTTCACAAAGGCTCTTAATCGGAAGAAACCTAATTCAGACTTGGAGGCGTTGAAGGGGACTTATATTCGTATTTATAGAGATTTAGGACGTCAATGGGTCGACCCAATTCGTTTCCTTGTCCAATTGTGGAACCTTTCTGGTGTTGGAATCCATATCCAATACGGATACGGTGTGAATGCGGTCGACCTCTTGACAATGCGGTCGACCTGTTAGGTGCACAAGGGTCGGCCTATGAGATATTTGGGTCGACCTTTCATTCTGTTAGACCACCAAAGCGGTCGACCGTATTATGTAAGAGGTCGACCGCGTCTCGGAACCCCACATACATGAATTAGTCCGTTCGGTCGACCGCATGTTGGATTAGGTCGACCGAAAAGTCCATGTCACGGTGACATGCATGTCACCGTAGCAAAATCCTAAGGATTAAGTTAGTAATAAAGGAATTGTCATTCAAATTTAAGTAATATGTTTGTTTGATGGATACATAATAAATTATCATCCATCCATAAATTTTAGGCATTTGTTTAATAATTTTGGAAGACTTACATAAAACATTTTGTTTAATTTCTAAATAAAAAATAATTATTGCTTCCCAATGTTACGTAATATATTATAATGTATGTAGCGGTTATAGAAAATTGTTAAGTAAACCTTCTGTAATGTGTGATCTAATAATAAAATCCAACTATGGAAAATATCACATTTGATTAAACTATGTGTAAAAATTGACTTACATTTCGGAACCTTTATGTAATGCCAATTGATATTGAATATTTTAGTTATAATAAATGAATTTAGATACGGAAATTATTACATTTGATTGAACTAGTATGTACTAAATAACATAAGAAACAACTATGCATTCGTAAATTTTATGTAATATATTTTTGGTTTAAGTGAATATTACAGAACCTTATTATGTAAATCTTTGGTAATATGTGATCCAATAACTATATATGTAATAATTAAAAATTTTATAATGCAAATTGACATTGAACATTGTTGATCATAATAAATGAATTATTTGTGAAAGTTATCACATTCGATTAAATTATTATGTAAAAATTGACTTACATTTCGGAACCTTTATGTAATGCCAATTGATATTGAATATTTTAGTTATTATAAATGAATTTAGGTATGGAAATTATTACATTTGATTGAACTAGTATGTACTAAATAACATAAGAAACAACTATGCATTCGTAAATTTTATGTAATATATTTTTGGTTTAAGTGAATATTACAGAACCTTATTATATAAATATTTTGTAATATGTGATCCAATAACTCTATATGTAATAGTTACAAATTTTATAATGCAAATTGACATCGAACATTGTTGATCATAATAAATGAATTATTTGTGAAAGTTATCACAATCGATTAAACTATTGTGTATTATCTCAACTAAATTTTACACAATAGTTTTAGTAAAATTTATTTTTTAACTTGATTTTATTATTAAATTAATTAGTACAAAATATTTGTGTAATCCTATTCTATAACACTTACGTAAATTATAAATACATTATTTAAAGCATACAAAGGAATAGTTATCTCTTATATATAATTAAAAATACTTAGTCTTCTGTAATTGTAAAGACACTATGTAATTGAGTGATACCATATCATTTAAATATACATAAGTATATAATTAAAAATACATAGTCTTTTGTAATTATAAAGACACTATATAATGGAGTGATACTATATCATTAAAAAATACGTAAGTTTTATATAATTATAAAGACACTATGTAATGGAGAGATAGCTATTTCATTACAGAAGTGTATGCTTCACAATTGTGTGTGAAGCTATGTATAATAACCTAATATGTAAACTATTGGAGATGGAGATGCAGATGCAGATTATAGGAAGGAACCTGATCCTTCTCCTGATGCACTAAGGAATCTATGATACGACAACGTTTCCCTCAAAAGCAACAGAGGAGCTGAGTAGAACGCAGTTGTATTAGTTAGTGTAAAGGGGTCTTCCGTTTTTACTGTAGATAGTACACTTGTCCTTTTCTTATTTGTAGGTAGAGCTTTGTTCGTTTGTTACCGTTACCCTGAGGTAATTTGTACAGCTGAGTCTCCTTTCTTGAGAAGTAGACAGAGTATATAAAAGGGCCTTGAGCTACCAAAGATCCCTTGCGGGTTCTTTCACAATACCACCATTGTTTTGTCACATGGTATCAGAATCTGATTCTGAGAACTAGGGTTTCACCTTCCGCCATACTCGCATTCTTTCTCTCTATCTCTCTATCTCTGTTTTTCTACCTTCTTTGATCATGGCTACTGAAGCATCTTCAAATTCAAGCTCCAGTACCACTGTGGCTACTCCACCTCTCACTACAGTCACAAACCCTTTCTACATAAACCCTAATGAAGCTTTAAGCTTCCCCATCAAGCTCACAGGAACAACAAACTACAACCTATGGAGCAGGACAGTCCGGGTTGCTCTAAAGAGCAAGAACAAGCTGGGATTCATTACTGGGTCTATTCCTATTCCAGATCCTAAGGATGCAAGTTATCAATCCTGGGAACAAAGCAATACAACAGTCTACTTCCTGATTCTAGGGTCTCTTGACCCAAGCTTGGTGAACATTGTCTCTTCTCAGGACAACTCCAAGCTACTCTGGGATGATTTAAGACAACATTATGGTCAAGCTGATAACATCAGTATCAGTGATCTCCAAACAGTTGTGTATACTCTTAAGCAAGGAAACAAGTCTGTTAATCAGTTTTACTCTGAGTTGAAGGGTTTCTTGGAAGAATTAGTTCAACTTCTGACAATCCCTAGTTGTGAATGTGGAGGAGAACATAGGGATAGAAAAGTTTCTTGTGTTACTGAGACTACAGCGAAGAAATACCGAGAGAATGAGTTTGTTACTCGGTTTATAACTGGTCTGAATGAGACATATGGAGGAGTCAAGACCAATCTATTAATGATGGTTCCATTGCCAACTATGGAGACATCGTTTCACTATGCTATCCAGCATGAAAGGCAGGTCTCTAGGCCAGGACAACAAGCTCAAGTTGACTTTGTGGCCCTCTTAGCCAATAATCAAGCTAAGGGTAAGGGAAATGCTAAGGGAACACAAGGTACCTTGTTCTGCAGATATTGTAAGAAGGATAACCATGTTATCTCTGATTGTTATAAGCTGAAAAGGAAGAACAAGGAAACAGGTTCTTCATCAGGATTTGCAGGGCAGTTACAAGGTATTGAGGTGTTAGGAGGAGGTATTCTTCCAAAGCCAGAAACCAGGACCTTGCCTGAGACCACTGATAGTTTCACTAGTATCACACTCTCTAATGATGACATTGGCAGGCTTCAGAGAATCCTCAATCTGTTTGGATCCCCCAGCTCTCCAACTTCACTTGGATCTCCTGGAACAGCCCTTACAGGTAGGGGTGGAAAACAATCCGGTCCGGTCAAAACCCGAACGGATTGACCCGGGTTTTTAAAACCGTTTTGATCAATACTACAACCGAAGACGAAATTGGATAACATCCGGTTTTGATCAAAACCGGACTGGACTGATCCAGTTTTAACCGAAAAACCGTTTGAAACGCAAAGACACTAGATTTATTATTAGAATAAAAAAATCAATAACCCCCCAAATCCCAATCCTCACGACAATCCTTCCCTCTCATTCTTTCTCTCTCTCCTTCCAATTTTCAGAGATTTCCTTCCCTCTCGTTCTCTCTCTCCCCTTCCAATTTCCATCTCTTTGTTTCTTTTGGGACAATAAGAAAGCCATCTCATCCCTTCTCTATCCTATGTTCCTTCTTAAATCCTAACCCACAAACAAACCCGAGAGAGGCAAAAAGGGGGAAAAAATCCAAAACTACCACTGTTTAAAATTTTTTTTACAAAAATACCACCCACTCCCAATAATTTCCAAAAATACCATCGTTTATTTAAAACCACGCCTTTAATGGGCGGTTTTAATTGAAACCGCACCTCCTCGCAGCGGTTATAGCACAAAACGCGCCTCCAAGGCGCGGTTTGACCTTGCATGGCTGTCAAAACGCGTGGCCACGTGGCGGTGCATCAAACCGCGCGATGAGGGAGCGATCTGACGGCCAAACCGCGCGCCAGCTCAGCGATACGCGTCGCTCAGTCAAACCGCTCCCCTAAAGCACGGTTTGACTGTTGGGGAACGCAAACCGCATGCTGGATGCGTGGTTTTAGGCGGGGTAAAAGGACGAAACAGCCCCTCCCTCACCCGGTTTCGTCCCTATATAAACCTCCCTTCCCCCTCCCATTTTCTGCACACCAAACCCATTCCCCCCTCTCTCCCTCTAACTTCTCACTCTACCCACTCCCCTCCCCACCCAAAAACCTTAGAATTAGTTATTTTGTTGGTTGCGGCTAAGTCCGATCTGCCTCCAAAAAACTTTTTCTTTGGTTTTCACTAAAAAACCGTCGAACCTCTGTCCGAATTCCGAAAAAATGGCCGATTTTGCCCAAGAAGAGGGCCTTTTTTATGATGATTATCAAACGCTACGTACTCATTTTTCCCAATTGTTGTTGTTGTTGTTGTTATAATGATTTATTTAATTTATATACTAATTGATTTAGGTTATTGTTATGCTATCGTAGGTTGGACTGGATGTTGATATTTTCAATCAACGATATTATGTTGATCAAGGACCGATTGATCCGACAGTTTTATACGATCAAGCAAATCATCGTACAAGAGACGTTTGGAACGACCACAAGGTACATATTATTTATCATCACTTGTAATTTGTATTTTGTTAAAGTAATTTATTTGTTTGTACAATAATTTACTTAATTGTTAATCGTATTGATTATTTTTAATAATTTAAATCAATACAATACAACACTTATTTAGACTCTTTATAAAGAAATGCATGTCTAAGGAAATGGGGACTTAAGCGATCATCATGATCCCCCCATGACCTGGGAAAATCGGGTTCTAAGCGATCCTCGGATCCCCCCCTTTTCTGTCAAAAAGACTGTGTTTCTAAGGAGATGTATATCTCTCATAAGAGTCTTACGAGTGTACTGAATTATTGAAAATAATCAATATGATTAACAAAATAATATATTTAATTTTATGTGTATGTGTACAAAAATTAATTATACTTAAATTTCGAAAATTATTTTAGTTATGTTAATATTAATGTTTATTGGATAATTTATATTTCTCTAAAACAATCGTGATTTAATTAATATTGCATCTTATAATATTATTTAGTTATGTTAAAATTAATGTTTATTAGATAATGTATATTTCTATAAAACAACCTTGATTTATATATAAATTGCATCTTTTAATATATTTATATATGTATAAATTATCAACTTATAGTGAAATTTAAATTCTTCTCTAGGATGCATACCATATAGTCTGCTATAGGGGCACGCCGAATGTGCTTGAATGGAACGACGTCATCTTGCCCTTTTTAAAAAAGGCAAGATTGGATTCGATTAGGCATTTTAATGGAATCAAGATCGACCGCCAACTCATCACGGCGATGGTAGAGAGATGGCGAAAGGAGACACACTGCTTCAATTTTCGTGAAGGCGAGTGCACCGTCACACTTAAGGACATCGCCATCCTAACTGATCTGCCCATCGATGATGATGTTGTTTGTGTGGACTCTACACCACCATCTAAAGTTGTTGCCAATATGAGTGGTTGGCAACATTTTATATGGACGGTCACCGGGTTGTGTCCGCCAGAAAAGGGTGATCACGATGCGGATGGTCATCCACCATTGTCCAAGGGCCAAGTATCCATCACGTGGTTGACAGCGGAGATCAGGCGTAAGCACAACCCTGAGTTCAGAGGCATTCCCCTCACGGAGGAAAGTTTGGAGCGTGATAAAGACAGTTATGCACGTATCTACATCCTCGACATGATCGGAGGAGTTTTCTTCTCCAAGAAATCCAACAACCTAATCAGCAATTCATGGTTAAAGATCATACTTGGTAGTTGGGATGATATGGGAAATTTGCTTGCCTAGCTCATCTCTACCGATCCCTTTGTAATGCTAGTGCGAGAGCGGTGAAGGAGATTGATGGGGCCATGTTCATCGTCCAATTTTGGGCTTGGGAGCATTTGCCATGGATTGCGCTGAAGGTTGAACCCGACAAGGAATGGGGTCCCGACCATCCCCTATGACATGAAACTTATGGTTGTAGGTAAATGTTTTCTATCTCACTCATAGTTCTCACAATTTTTTACTAATTGGGTATTTTATATCGAACCGGGTATTATGTATTAACACTCCATACTTTATGGATTGAATAGGTGGCTTGGTGAAAAAACATGCGACAACCTAGGAGCGCATAAGTTGGAGGAGTATCGTAGGAGGCTTGATCGCATTTGGGAAGCAGAGGTGAACATCATAATACGCTATTAATTCCTACTTTTTTTTTAACTTATATTATTATGTTGATTAATGGTTTTTTTTATAAACCTTCGTAGCTTAAGTTCGATCCGTATCCAGAACGCATTGTTGCGCATCACGTCCACAAGTTCCCGTTACATCCCGGTCAATGGTGCACCCGAGTTCCACTAATCTGCCACCATATAGTGGAGTGGCACTTGCCGGATCAATGTCTACGACAATTGTGTTTCATACCCAAAATTCAACCATCAAATTCAATGAGCAAACAATAGACTTTTTCAAATTCATTATGGATCAAACTCTCATGAATCCAAAAAAATTTAAAATTCACAATTTTTTAACCAAAATCCTCATTTTTCAAATTCACCCAAGACTCTATATTTTTTTTAACAACCAAAGACCCTATATTTGATGTAACAAACCCTAACATATATGCCACTAGGCTAGAAACCTTTTTGTCCAAGTAATATATATTAACATAATACAACTTACAATAGGCTTGAAAATTAACAAACATCGGCATTGACTTTTAGTATGTCAACAAAATCTTTGCATCTTCGCGTTTTTTTGCGCACATGGCCACCTGTAAATTTTGCTCAACTTGCCAACTGCCTCCATTGGCGGTGGCGGCTCTGCCTTCCATTTCTTCACACGTCAAGTTCCATCCGATCGAAAATTCGCCAAGAATATTAATCCAACCCAACATTCACCATAAATGTCGTCTCCTTCCCCTCCAAAAAGCAAAAAAGCAGCAACTTCGCTCCCTCCAAAAATGTCGTCTCCAACTTCCAATACCGTCATCAATCCAACCTTCACCGAGCAAGAATGGTTGAAACAGATCAACCAGGCGATCCAACTCGGCCCGGAAACCATAACCCAAAACCTCTCCTCCATCTTCAGAGTCCCCGCCACCATCTCCGCCGCCAAGCCCCAGTCCTACGCCCCCAAGCTCGTCGGCCTTGGCCCGCTCCATCACTTCCAGCGGCGGCTCTACCAGAACGAGCCCCTCAAGCTCGCCGGCGCCGAGCAGGCGCTCAAGCGCTTCAACGTCGCCACCGCCGACTTCCCCAACCTCGTCCGACAAATCGTCCCTCTGCTTCCGGCCATCCGACTATGCTACGACTCCCACCTCGACATCGCCGACGACACTCTGGCCTGGGTCCTCGCGATCGACGGGCTCTTCGTCGCCGAGATGCTCTACAACCCGCAGTTCCTCCTGCCCCGGACGTCGAGCTCGTTCAGCTTCTCGGAGAAGCTGCGCGACATCACCGGCGACATCGTCCTGCTCGAGAATCAAATTCCGATCTACACTCTGTTTCCGGCGGAGATTTCGGTGAACTTGTGCAAGATGCTGGAATCCTTCTGCGGGGTGCTCTCGCCTTTCAAGCTGCAGGATTATGATTCTGATCTCGAATTGAAGCCGCCCCCGAAGCATCTGCTGGATCATGTGTACCAATTGATATCGCGGGAAAAAAACAGAGCATCCTTGCTGAAACGAGAAGAGAGCGATGTTTCATCGCCGGCTGATGAGGATTCGGTTATTGCCATCGGCGGATTGGGGACTCTGGCCGATGACCTCGCCGAGAAAGTAGGCGACGCCAGTGAAGACATCGGCCCTGTTCAGAACGTGACCGCCGGAATTGAGAGGCTCGCCCAAATACAGAGTACGTCCTCTATTCCATACCCAATTCTTCATAACATTTGGATCCTCATACGATTTCCGATTTCATCAACAATTCTGATTAATCAAAGTATTGAATTTTGTTGTATGTATCGTAATGACAAAAATGTGCGTCAAAACAAACTCTTAGTATCGAATTCAAATTGTACAATAAATTGAACTCGCGGTTTCAAATGTGCTTCTTTTGCAGTCAGAAGCCCGGTCAGCAGCATTTTCAGGATACTCGACATACTAGGGATCTCCAGTTTCGTGAACGAAGCACTGGAAGACGAAATCACGCTTCTCCCATCAGCCGGAGACCTCAAAGGCGCCGGAGTGAAATTCGCCGCCACGACCGGCGGCCTGAGATGCATCGAATTCGACGAATCCGACGCCGTTCTGACCCTCCCTGCATTCTCCTGGAAACCCAGCAGCGAGATCGTGATCCGAAACCTGGTGGCGTACGAGTCCCTGGCCAAACCGGATTCCGCGATCCTGATCCGGTACACGGAGATGATGCACGCCATGGTCCAGGACAAGAAGGACGCGAAGCTGCTGAGAGAAGACGGGATCGTGGAGGGGAACAACGCCGCCGCCGGCGACGAGGCAATGGTTGCTTTGTTTCGCGGGATGGGAGGGGCGCCGGATCCGATGAGCAGGACGGTCCTGGACAAGACGATTCTGGAGGTGAATTCGTACTACAACAGAAAATCGAAGGTCGTGGCATCCAAGGTTTTTAAATTGGGGGTGAAGGCCTTGCTGAGGGTGCTGATGGTTGTCGCCGCCATTGCTCTGCTGGTAATGTTTTCAATTCAGTCGTACTGTAGCATCTATGTGTGCGCCGGGACGACGGGTGGCGGGTTGTTCGGAATTGGGACCCTGGAATCGTCGGTGGGACGGCAGATTGGTGGCGGCGGTGGGGTGTCCTCTTTGTTGTCATCTGTTTAGAGGGATTTGATTGATTTTTGTGGGGTGGGTGTGTGTGATTAAGGGAAGTGGGTTAGTTGGTCTTTGTTTGGTTTTTGTGTATAATTTACGTCATTAATTAGGGCTGTATATTTAATTAACGTTAATATTTGTTTTGTCTTATATTATTTTCCACGCGTGGTGTAATTGTTGACTGGGAGATGTTCGTCAGTCGTTACAACGCATTACACGTCTCTTTGTTTTAAGTGTATAATTTCTTGTAAGGAAGTTACTGATTAAGTTGATTAATTGCAATAAATACCAATTGTTTGTAATTATTTTTGAACAACGAATATAATTACCTATTGTGTGCGTGTTTAAGTCGTTGATCCGATCAAGCAAGTGATTTTTTTTATACCCAGTAACCTCAGTCACAAGTGTCACTTTGTGATATCGGGGCCTACTAAAACTGTGGGTCATCTGCAATCAATTCGACACCAACATGACTTCGCCCCCAGCAGTCTTGTACCTCCGGGAACACCAACGGGTCTCGCTTGAATTCGAACATGGGATCAGCAACTCCCAAACCTTCACTATCGCGGCAGTTGGTTTTTTATACACAGGAACCTCAGCCCCAAGTGTCACTTTGTGACAGCCGGGCCTTACTAAAACTGGGGGTCCACCTGCAATCAATTCGACGCTAACAGGGCTTCGTCCCCAGCAGTCTTGTACCTCCAAGATCACCAACAGGGCTCGCTTGGATTCGAACCAGGGATCCGTAACTCCCAAACCTTCACTGTCGCGACAACTTTACCGTTAGACTATCTTACCTTTGGTGCAAGTGGTTTGAAGTTTAACAGTATGACCGGGGTGCAAGTGATTTGAAGTTTAATAGTATGACCGAGTTCCAAGTTGTTTTATACAAATAAGGTGGTAATTTAGGATATTAATGGGTGAAATAAAATTTACCTTATATATAATTATTAGAAACTCAACTCTCATAAAAAAATACATAACCCTCGTGACTCATCCACTATCCTCCTTCCTTATCTCCCCCCCTCTCCCTTCCTTTTTTCTTCTTCCCCTTCTTTAGCAGTCAAACCAATGACATTTTGGAGATCGTTCTATAGCCCGAAAGTGGTTGGATCGGGATGAAGTGACAGGCCGGTAGAGGTTTAACAAGTCTTGTGTGATACGAATTTGCAAATATGTATTATAGATTAAGACACAAAAATAAAAATAGAAATGGAAGAAATTACAATAAGAGTTTGAGCAAAATAAATTCTATGTAACCCAATGTGGTCAAGGCACCCAATTCCATCGAAGTACTCACCTAACGACTAACAGCTTTGAGGCATTCAACTGCATGCATTGTTGGGTCGTCAGTAAGCTCATACAATGGTTTCAATTTGGTGTTGAATGAGCTAGAAAATGGGCCCCTGGATTCGCTTTCCTGCTGACAAAAGCCCAAGCCACATTAACACGAGAGAGGTGAACAGGAAGGAAGGGACACAAGTCGCCAAATTTCCTTCAGCAACTCCGTGTTCTGGTCTATCATATCCGTCTTCTCACTTCTTAATCAAAACCATAGGATTAATGCCATATTTGGTCACTGAGTTTACTAAAAAGTCTCACGTTTAGTCACTCGAAATATTTTGTTTCAATGCTGGTAATTCAAATTAGTAAAACGATCTATGTTTGGTCACTCTCCGGTAGTCTCCGTCCAACTCTATTAATGAAGTTCGTTCTCTGCTGACGTGGCAAACGAAATCTCCTAATGAACCTGGTTTGACCCAGAAAACTATAAACCCGACTAGACACATTTTCACAACCCGCCACATCATCCCAACCATCGAACCCAACCTGTGTTGGACCTGTTCTGGAAGTTAGAAGAAGAAGGAATCTGAATCCTTAGCGGAGAAGGAAGAAGTGGCGCCTACGGAAGTTTGAAGTTTAAAGAAACATTATCGTTTAGTTTATTCTTGTTTGGTACCTACATTTATTGGCCGAGTCAGTTTGGTCAGTGTCCATTGTGAGCAACGGCTCGAGCAAAATAGATTGCAGATCTTCAGCTTGGTTGAGGATTAGTTTGTTGCTGATTCATAGGAAAGTAGTTCTATTAGTTTTTCCTTGGCCGATTTTTGTGGCCTAGTCTCGTGTATTTATTTTCTTTCATATTCAATAAACGAATTTTCAGATTGCAATACGATTTAGGCTTTCATTGTGGTATCAGAGCCTATTCGTAAGCTGTAACCAGAAAGTGAGAGAGATCTGTGGGAAATAGCAGAGTGGATATTTGGGAAACACGAGAGATTAAAGTGAGGAATCAAGGAAGATATTTGGGTGTGTGAGAAATATGAGTGAAGGTAGCAGCAGCTATGCATAGGTGTGCATACCTAGATTCGATGGAGATTTTGATCATTGGAGCTTATTGATGGAAAATCTCCTTCGATCGAAGGAATACTGGGAGGTGGTAAGTGAAGGATTCAAGGAGCCCACAAATGGAGAAGTTCTATCTAATGCTCAATCCAAATGTCTTAAAGAACCCAGGCTCAAGGACTTGAAAGCCAAGAATTACCTTTTCAGCTCCATTGATAAGGTTATCTTGAAGACCATCACGAACAAGAGGACTGCTAAGGAATTGTGAGAATCTATGAAGATCAAGTCCCAGGGAAGCGCGAGGGTGCAGAAAGCTCAATTGCAAGTTCTAAGAAGGAATTTCGAGCTGTTGGAAATGAAAGAAGGTGAAACTATAAATGAGTACTTCAGTAGAGTAATGGTTATAGCAAATTCTATGAGAAATTGTGGTGAGAACCTAACATATGTGAACATTATTGAGAAGATACTGCGAACTTTAACTAAAAATTTTAACTTTATGGTTTGCTCAATTGAGGAATCAAAGGATATAGAAACTTTAACTGTTGATGCTCTCCAAAGTTCCATAATTGTGCACGAACAAAAGTTTCAAAGGAAGGGTGTTGGTGAAGAAGATTAGGCTCTAAGGGCATCACATGAGTATGTTGGAAGAGGTGGCAGAGGCTATGAAGGCAGGAGCTACCAAGGAAGAGGTCGAGGAAGAGGAGGAAGAGGCTGGAACAAGGAATAAGTGAAATATTTCAAATACCACAGATTGGGACACTACCAGTATGAGTGTCCAGAGTGGGAAACAAACCAGCAGTCCTACTATGAAAGCTATCAAGGAAGAAGCCAAGGAGACGTGAAAGGTGACATGCTGCTTATGGCCTACCTAGAAGGAGGGCAAAACTCCAAAGGAAATGATGACTCGGTATTTGCACATGTTTTCCCCTTTGTTTCTTGATTGTTTGAGCTTGAATTATTGCGTCTTTGGCCTATTTTACGCTAGGTTGTGTTCCTTTGTCACATTTCAGGCCCTAGCACATAAAGTTAAGCATAGGCGCAAGTTTCAAGTCAATCAGAGATCAATTGACGATTCGAGAAAAGAAACTCGGGCATGACCTGAAGAAGAATGGATTTCTACCTCACTTTATGGACAAAGAATCATGCAAACTTGTCATTAAAAGAAAGAGGACGAGACTACGAGCGTCTGGGATCAAACGGCGGCTGATTCGGAGTCCGGACGAGGGAGAAACGAAGCATTAAACAGAGGCTGAGCAAGCCACACGGGCACAACCCACACGGCCGTGTAACCTGGCCATGTGGCCGTGTGGAAATCACCGAGCCTTCACACGGGCAGCTGGGAAAGCCACACGGCCGTGTGGCCTGGCCGTGTGAGTCGGGAATTGCTGGTTAAAACCCGATTTTTAGGAAAAGGAGAGGGAGAGAGCTGGGGTTTGGATCCCAAACACCCAAGGGACGAACCCTAGAGAGAGAGAGCGACTTGGGAACATTCTTGGAGCTATTTTGGAGGATTTCTTCGCCATTGGAGCTCGGGAATCAAGCTTGGAGATGGAGATTGAAGATCTAGATCAGATTTCTGCAGTCTCTCTCTTCTCTATGGAGTAACTTCCCTTCACTTAGGTTTTGAGGAACCCTAGTTCCATGAGTTAGGATCTTTCTTGTATGAAGTTTTGGATGCTATATTGTTTGATTATAATCGATTGAGGCATGATTTATTGAGTCAATTGAATCTTAATCAAATTCTCTTGATTTATGCTTTAACCTATGATAGATAGAATCTGATTAGGTTAAGAGAGCTTCCTTGATTGATAGTAGTGAATTGGTTGTGCGAGAGTCAATCAATTCACTGCTTTGTACTGGAGTTCATTCCACTAGGGGAGATCTGTGTGAATCGCCTTAGCAGTCTATCCCGGTGAAGGCTAGTCGCCTGCCGGGTATTCTGTTTGAGAGGGCTTGGTCAGCTTAAGAGATTCCAAGCTAATTGAGGATCTTCCGTAGTTTAATCAACAGTAGATCAACCAAAGGTAATTGCAACTTGGACCTAATTGAGGAGCTAGAGGGAATCATACCAAAGTGAGTTCCCAACTTGTAATTAGTAGAGTAGTCAGTAGAGTAGTTTAGTAAATCAATCCTTAATCTAGTTTGCTAGATAATGAACTGAAGCTGAGTAATAGTAAATCTAGAGACCCGTGGATTCGATATTTATTACTTGTGCCACTATACTGCAGTCCCTTTCATTGGTTACACTTGGCCATTGTTAGGTGTTGTGTTTTAGAGCATCAAGTTTTTGGCGCCGTTGCCGGGGACGTTCTAGATTATTAGGAAAGGTAGAAATTTGTTACTTTAGCGTTTTTCTTTTCTTTTCTTTTCCACCCTTGCTTTTCACTTGGGTGTTTTTGTTGGTGCAGATCTGAATCATGGATCCTCATGGCTTCTCCAACCATTGGGGGTATCCACCACCACCTGAGTGGTATTACCCCGAGACTCCCTGGAGCAATCAAGGAGGAGAAGACTATGGATTTGGGTTCCAGTACCAACCCCCTTTCTACGGAGAACAACCAGACCCCTGGGCATATCAAGAACAACCTCATTACCAAGAAGACTTTCTCCCACAACCAAAAGGGCCATCAGAGCTGGAGTTACCCATGGCGGCCTTCACGGGCCACTCTACAGAGCCATGCTACACTTCACTGGAAGATCCGAACAAACAATTAAGGCTTCTCGTGGAGCAGTTTGCTCGAGACACTGAGAGATCATGCTCCAAGATGGATCTTCAAATCAAAGCCCTTGCTGCTTCCGATCCCTCATTTCTCCATGATATGGAGGAGACTGTTCAGCGCTCAGCGAAGCAAACAGAGTGGGTGGAGCAAGTTTGCTCACATCTTGCTCAAGATCACCTTTCTGCTACCACGCTAGAAGAGGTGGCGGATGACAAAGGCTACGGGGATGTTAAGGAGCATACAGAAGTTATCACAGAGAACTCCCATGATGATCATGATCAGGAAAGTCCTCTGGTTGCAGATCACACAATTCCTTATTTCTGCTCTAACATGCTGGGCCCGAGCTAGGAGATGCAAGATGATCTCATTGAAGAAATTACATGGCGACTTGCTCTCCAATCTGTGCTAGAAGAAGAAGAGCAAGAAAGGGTGCAGAAGAAGTTGTGGAGGATGACGAAAGTGAAGCAGGAGGAGTTCTTTATCATTTTCCAGGGGTGATACCACATGAAGAAGAAAGGGGGGTTGAAGAAGAAATTGGCGTCCAGGCCGAGGATGGAGTTAAGGTGGAAGAGGCCTGCACCGGCCATGAGTTACATGTGATATCTCCACCAAACTTCGAGGAGCTACTTGGCAAGGACCCATTTGCAGTGTCTCTTTGCCAGACCAAGGCCACATCGACATCGGTCCCTCTTGGTGGACGCGATGGTGGCCAATCGATGCTGTCATATATGGTTTGGGGCAATGAGACGAGAGAAGAGAAGAAGAGGTCTCGAGGATGGAGACTTCATCTGCATCAAGTGCACGAGCTTCCATCGCCAGTCATACCACATGCTCGTGACTTGAGACTCCCCCTCATCGACAAGAACCTCAACTTCAAGGAGGTTCTAGCATGGACCGAAACTTAGGAGCCATCGTCTGGCTCACGACGTGAAAGAAGCGCTTGTTGGGAGGCAACCCAACCAGTCGGTTTGCATTTCTTTCTCTATTTCTCCTCGGTTGAGTCAGTTTTGTTATTTGATTTTAGAGTCAATAACTCAACCTTTGTGAAATTTTGTGTGGTGTTTGCGTTCTGATTACTCTCTCTTCCTGGAATGCACCGCCTGACCCGTCCATCATCATTCACCCTTGATCTGGTAACTTCGTTCTACCCTCCTTATCTTTCCTCCATTGAGGACAATGTCGTGCTTAAGTGTGGGGGGATGTTCGATTATGTATGCGGGTGAATGTTTGGCTGTTTGTGTGCTTGGAGCCTAGTCCACTGTCCAAATTTTTAAATTTGAGGGCTCCAAGTACGTTCCTTGCAAATTGCCTGCTCAGTATGCTTTGAATTGACAGTCTCTATAGTAATGTGCAACCTAGGGAGGTTGTGTAGCACTATGGAGGATGTTGAAGTATAAGATTTTTCCTACCTAGCTCTCTGCTGTGTCAGTTGATTTTGTGAATTAGTGGAGCTAAGACCATTGAATTCATGTGGTAATGGTGACTCTGTTTGGATTGTGTTATGGACTCGTGTATCGAACAGGGTGCTCATGTGGAAAATGGGAAGCGGTTGGTTCTCCATGTCAAAATCATTAAATCTTAAACATGGGGTAAGCCCAACGTGTGTGGCACCGTTCATTGCACGAAATCGGGTTTTGGAGGAGATTTTAGTGATCCTTAGTGGGGTACTCCTACAAGGTGAAGCTAAGCTGTCTCTAGTACAAGTAAAACTTCCACCCGTTGAACGGTTTGCCTACTTGAAGATGTGTTTTTAAGGGCACGGATAGAGCTTCCGACCCCCCTTAATTTCATTGACCCTCCACACGAGTTGAGGAAAAGGAGTTAAAAGAAGTACTCTGGCGAGCGCCAGATGTACAGAAATTGCTCTTGCTCGACTAATAAGGGTCGACCGTGCAAAAGACTGCAGTTGGAACCCCCGCCAAGTGAATGAAAAAGAAAAAAAAGTAAAATGAAAGTGAAAAAGGGGTTCCAACGGTGAAATGAAGTGAAAGATCACCCCGGTACAACGAGTCCTTGGTTGTGAATGGTGTGAGTCCCTTTATCCATGAACTGATTGTCTTACTTCTACTTTTTCTCATGATCCTGGCTTGAGTCTAGTACTCGCATTGAGAGAGATAGGGAACGTCTTAGAAGACCAGTTGACCTCGTAAGCTGCTATAAGATCTAGGAAATCCTCTACCGACGATCGGGGTTGTATGTTGCTATAGAGCTTTGGAGAGCTGCATTGGTTTGAGTTAGGTTTGCTTGGGGACAAGCAAACAGTTAAGTGTGGGGGGATTTGATGACTCGGTATTTGCACATGTTTTCCCCTTTGTTTCTTGATTGTTTGAGCTTGAATTATTGCGTATTTGGCCTATTTTACGCTAGGTTGTGTTCCTTTGTCACATTTCAGGTCCTAGCACATAAAGTTAAGCATAGGCGCAAGTTTCAAGTCAATCAGAGATAAATTGACGATTCGAGAGAAGAAACTCGGGCATGACCTGAAGAAGAATGGATTTCTACCTTACTTTATGGACAACGAATCATGCAAGCTTGTCATTAAAAGAAAAAGGACGAGACTACGAGCGTCTGGGATCAAACGGCGACTGATTCGGAGTCCGGACGAGGGAGAAACGAAGCATTAAACAGAGGCTGAGCAAGCCACACGGGCACAACCCACACGGCCGTGTAACCTGGCCATGTGGCCGTGTGGAAATCACCGAGCCTTCACACGGGCAGCTGGAAATGCCACACGGCCGTGTGGCCTGGCCGTGTGAGTCGGGAATTGCTGGTTAAAACCCGATTTTCAGGAAAAGGAGAGGGAGAGAGCTGGGGTTTGGATCCCAAACACCCAAGGGACGAACCCTAGAGAGAGAGAGAGCGAATTGGGAACATTCTTGGAGCTATTTTGGAGGATTTCTTCGCCATTGGAGCTTGGGAATCAAGCTTGGAGATGGAGATTGAAGATCTAGATCAGATTTCTGCAGTCTCTCTCTTCTCTATGGAGTAACTTCCCTTCACTTAGGTTTTGAGGAACCCTAGTTCCATGAGTTAGGATCTTTCTTGTATGAAGTTTTGGATGCTATATTGTTTGATTATAATCGATTGAGGCATGATTTATTGAGTCAATTGAATCTTGATCAAATTCTCTTGATTTCTGCTTTAACCTATGATAGATAGAATTTGATTAGGTTAAGAGAGCTTCCTTGATTGATAGTGGTGAATTGGTTGTGCGAGAGTCAATCAATCCACTGCTTTGTACTGGAATTCATTCCACTAGTGGAGATCTGTGTGAATCGCCTTAGCAGTCTATCCCGGTGAAGGCTAGTCGCCTGCCGGGTATTCTGTCTGAGAGGGCTTGGTCAGCTTAAGAGATTCCAAGCTAATTGAGGATCTTCCGCAGTTTAATCAACAGTAGATCAACCAAAGGTAATTGCAACTTGGACCTAATTGAGGAGCTAGGGGGAATCATACCAAAGTGAGTTCCCAACTTGTAATTAGTAGAGTAGTCAGTAGAGTAGTTTAGTAAATCAATCCTTAATCTAGTTTGCTAGATAATGAACTGAAGCTGAGTAATAGTAACTCTAGAGACCCGTGGATTCGATATTTATTACTTGTGCCACTATACTGCAGTCCCTTTCATTGGTTACACTTGGCCATTGTTAGGTGTTGTGTTTTAGAGCATCAGGAAACTTCCACAACAATGAAACATGGTAGTTCCTAGACTCTGGATGCTCCAACATTATGAGTGGTGGTAGAAGTTGGTTCACAGAACTAGATACCAAGTTCAATTGCACTGTCAGACTTGGTAATGACACCAGACTAAATGTTGTGGGAAAGGGAACTGTCAAATTGTTGGTAAACCAAACATCATTGTTGGTGCAGGAGGTGTTCTATGTGCCTGCACTCAAGTCAAACCTGTTGAGTGTGGGTCCACTACAGGAAAAGGTCTCTCCTTTCTCATCAAAAGAGGAATGTGCAAACTATTCCATGAAGAGAGAGGTCTGGTGTTGCAGACAGAAATGAAATCAAATCGAATGTTTGTCTTACAAGCTGAAGCAAGAAGAGGAATAGATGGGCAATGTCTGCAAGTGTATTAGTCAAAAGAAGATTCCCTAGAGCTATGGCACATAATATTTGGACATATAAGTGTTCAAGGGTTGCTGGATCTTCAAAAGAAAAAGCTAGTTCAAGATTTGCCAAGTCTGAAAGGTGAAACAGGAATCTATTGGACATTGACTGATGAGTTTAGTAGGAAGCTCTGTGTGTATTTCATGCCAGCCAAATCTGACACTCTATAACACTTTAAGAAGTTCAAGAGTTATATAGAGAAGGAAACTGGAAACAACATTCTGTGTTTGAGAACGGACAGGGGAGGAGAGTTTATGCTGCATGAATTTAAAGATTTATGTGACGAGGCTGGAATAAAAAGACAGCTTACTGCTGCTCTTACACCTCAGCAAAATGGGGTGGATGAAAGGAAAAACAGGAAAATTATGAATATGGTAAGGTGTGTTCTGGAGGATTGCAAGGTGCTTGCATCCTTCTGGACAAAAGGTGTGGAATGGGCTGCTCATGTACACAACAAGAGCCCAAATACTAATCAGGGGAAAATAGCTCAGGAGATCTGGACAGGACATCCTCCGTCAGTCTCACACCTAAGGTTGTTTGGATGGGTGGCTATGTCCATGTACCTAACCAGCAGAGAAAGAAACTGGACAACAAAAAAGTGTGAGATGCCAATTCTTGGGCATTTCTGTGGAATCCAAAGCATACAAGCTATTCAATCCAACCACTAAGAAGGTGGTGATCATCAGGGATGTGGTCTTTGATGAGCAAAAAGGATGACATTGAGAGGCTGAAACACAACCAGTACTCATTAAGATCCACTGGGAAGGAAGTGATGATGATTGGCTTGATTCAGACACTGAAGAAGAAGATCTTGATGAAGGATCTAACATCAACACAACTACAAATCAATCACCACCACCAACAAATCATGTACAAGTCACTCCCAGCACAAACCAAGAAGAATAGGAAGAAGAAAGCTTTGGTTCTCCTTCTGATGTTCTTGGTCTGCCTGCCACAGAATTAGCACCACGAGTAAGACACCCTCCTAGCCATTTGTCAATCTATTATTGTAGCTTTGTTGATACAGAATGGAGGGCTATGGTAGTTGTGTCAGATGATCCAATTACTTTTGAAGAAGCAGTGCCTGACCCCAAGGGCTTGGTACAATAGGATCGAGACTCATTTTTTGAATTCAGGTTTTGAAAGAAGTTCATATCAACATACACTGTTCATTAGGAAAGAAGGGGAGGAAATCCTAATAGTCAGCTTGTATGTAGATGACTTGCTGTATATAGTAAACAGTTCCAGGCTAATGAATGAGTTCAAAGACTCCATGAAGGCTGAGTGTGAGATGACTGATCTCGGGAAAATGAGATTCTTTCTGGGGGTTGAAGTTATTCAGAATGGTGCAGGGATCTTTATTTGCCAGCAAAATTATATTAAAGAGGTACGGGAAAAGTTTAAATTGGAAGCATGCAACTCTGTATTAAATTCCCTAGCACCAGGAATGAAAATGTCTAGAGCAGGAGATGGTTTGCCAGTCAACCCAACTGAATATAAAAGGTTGGTTGGCAACCTGTTGTATGCCACAGCAACGAGGCCTGATCTTATGTATGTGGTGTGTCTTCTTAGTAGGTATATGGAAAATCCCACTAGGCAGCATATGTTGGCTGCCAAGAGGGTGATTCGATACCTCAAAGGAACTCTAAGCATGGGAGTCTGGTACAAGAGAAGGAATGAAGAGACTAAACTGCTTGGCTACACTAACAGTAATTATGCAGGTGATGTTGATGACTGGAAGAGTACTAGTGGATACACCTTTTTCCTTGTAGGTGGAGTTGTGTCTTGGGCCTCCAAGAAGCAACTTGTAGTTACCTTTTCAACCACAGAGGTAGAGTTTGTGGTTACTTCATTTTGTGCAGCTCAATGTGTATGGATGAGGAGGGTTCTGGAGCAAATTGGATGGAAGAAAAGTGTGGCTGGAGCCACGAAGATGATGTGTGATAATAGCTCTGCCATCAAGCTCACCAAAAACCCTGTGCTTTATGGGAGAAGCAAGCACATCGACATCTGATTTCACTTTCTTAGTGAGCTAGCTGCTGATGGAATTATGGAGCTGGAACATTGCAGAACTCATGAGCAGATTGCATACATTATGACAAAGGGATTGAAGACTGAGACTTATCAGCTGCTAAGAACATAACTTGGAATGGTGGATCTATCAGAGTTCGAAGCAACAAGCAAGGAAGTGAGCTGAAGTCAGTGAACCTGCTTCAGTTTAGGGGAAGATCTGTTGGACCTGGTCTGGAAGTTAGAAGAAGAAGGAATCCGAATCCTTAGCAGAGAAGAATTGAAGTGGCGCCTTTGGAAGTTTGGATTTTAATGAAACAGTGTCGTTTAGTTTATTCTTGTTTGGTACCTACATTTATTAGTCGAGTTAGTTTGGTCAGATTGCAACGGCTTGAGCAAAACAGATTGCAGATCTTCAGCTTAGTAGAGGATTAGTTTGTTGTTGATTCATAGGATAGTAGTTCTGTTAGTTTTTCCTTGGCCAATTTCAGTGGCCTAGTCTCGTGTATTTATTTCCTTTCATCTTCAATAAATGAATTGTCAGATTGCAATACGATTTAGGCTTTCAACCTCACCCAGCTCTCCATCTTCTTCCCTCGACCCTTATCTGGTAGCTTGATTCCCATAACTCCGTCATATATTATTTTCCTGTTTTTTGTTTTATTGCTTTTACAAGTAACCTCCTTATTCTTATAGAACTCTACCTTGTAATCCTATGCCTCCTTTATTGTTTTACTAAGCTACTCCCTTTCTTTCTTCTCCTTCTCCTCCCATCGCAAGACATTCTCCCTGTGCACCCAAACAACAGAATGAAAGGACGACTACTTTCCTTCTCCTCCGTCCACCATCGTCCCGCCCAGAGAACACATGAGGATTATGAGCTTTACGAGTTTGATTTTGTCGTCGCCTCTAGCTTTCTCGGCAACCAGTGATTTTGGGTCTTCAGTTTCTAGACCTGAAATCGAAGCGACGCCAGATGTGGGACGCGACACTGGATCGAGCGAATGCTTCCGATTGACCCCCGTTGCGGTGGAGTGTTTCTGGGTATGGGATCTGACCCGACGGAGAGCAGGAGATTGACTTTATGTCTCCGCTTTTGACTTTCGGCGGGTTTTTGTTATGGGATAGGGATGAGATTATGGGGAAAAATCCAAAACTACCACTGTTTAAAAAAAAATTACAAAAATACCACCCATTCCCAATAATTTCCAAAAATACCATCGTTTATATAAAACCGCGCCTCTAATGAGCGGTTTTTAATGAAACCGCGCCTCCTGGCAGCGGTTGCCAAGAGGCGTTTTTAATTTCCAGCAAAAATTGCTTCTGGAAGGCGCGGTTATAGGCTAACCCTACCACAAAACGCTTGAAGAGGGAGCGTTTAAATGTCGGCATGATAAACCGCCCCACCAGGCGGCGGTTTACCATGTCAGGACATAAACCGCTGCCCCAAGGTGCGGTTTGTGCCTGGTCACCCGACATCAAACATGTCGGACATGTCGGCATGCAGAGGGTAGGGCTGCATGGCAGACCTAAAACCGCTCCCCCCCCACCCCCCACCCCAGCGGTTTTGCTGCAAAATTTGCCTATAAAAGGCTGTTTCAGAGAACTCAATTCTTCACACTCCTCCTCTTCCTTCTTCAAATTTCAGCTTTGCACCTTTAAATTATTTAGTTTTTGCGATTAACGTTAATTCGTAAGTTTGTTTTGTAATTACTTTTCATTGTCCTTTGTGATTTTATGTTAGTAACTTAATTACTTTTCATTGTCCTTTGTGATTTTATGTTAGTAACTTAATTACTTTTCATTGTCCTTTGTGATGTTATGTTAGTAACTTGTATTACTTTTCATTGCAGATGGCATTCCAAAGGTTCACGCTTGGGTTGCGGTGGAATGGTTACACGGAAGAGACCGAAAAGGGTGTAAGTTACGTCGGTGGCAATTTTTATAAAATGAAGGTCCGTACAAGACCGATGCTTGAAGAGCTCCATCAAATGTGCACTCAGATTACCTGCATGGATGGCACTAGAAGAGTTGATCAAATGGTGTATCGATATCCAAACAGACATGACGGATCGCTGTGGAATGAGGAATTCCTCCTTACCACTCAGGAGGACGTTGATGCCATGGTCCAATTTTTGACCATCAATAAAATTAAGCAAGCGGAGATGTTCATTTACATCGAGGCCGTCGAAGGCAGTGTAGGTCATTCTGGAGATGGCCAAACATCTGGTATCCATGGTGGGAATGTATTATACGAAGATCATCCCCACCAGGATTTCCGAGACTCGAGCTGGAGGCAGGAGTATCATCATGGAACTGGAGGAAGTCATCAATCCTTCCCTTCATATGAAGAAGAAGCTCAACAGGAGGGTCACAACCAACAAGCAGGCTACCAGTACCCACCCGAGTACAATTTCTATCAAAGCGGTGTTAGTTACCACAACTACCATTACGGAGCTGGTGAAGGTGAAGGTGCCTTTCATGATGATAATTATATGGAAGAAGAGGTCAATCCAAGTCCAGTTAGTGACCCTGAGGTTGAAGAAGAGGAAGGCGAAGTTAGTGCAGACAACTTCGATCCGGTGGAAGGTGCTGATGATTCCGGTCCAGATTCAGATGCAGATGGTGATGAGGTACCTCACGACCGTGTACCTATTCCATACTACAATCACATTCAAAATGAAGATTGGTATGTTGATACCGACATGGACCCACCAGATGTGCCAGTATGGGGTCCACTAACTGGCTTTACGAAGGGCCAACAATTTGCAACGAAGAATGAGGTCCGACACGCTATTTCCACTGAAGCAATGACTCGAAGTTTTGAATGGCAAACAACCCATTCCGACACAAAAAGGCTGATGGTTCGATGCAAAAATGAAAATGAGGGATGCAAAGCTAGGGTCCGGGTCATCAAGAGCAAGAGAGTCGGCCATTGGGTCATATCCCGTGCGGTGAACACACACACATGTGTGTCATCAATAACATCCCAAGGCCATCGACATTTGAAATCAAGGGTGGTTGTCGCGGCTATCAAACATCTAATTGAGGAGCAGCCCGACCTGAAGGTGAAAACCATCATCGCCCACATTTCTAGTCGTTATGGTTATATCATTAACTACAAGAAAGCGTGGCATGGGAAACAGAAAGCAATGGCTGCCGTGTTTGGTGACTGGGAAGAATCATATGCATTCCTTCCCAATTTGATTTTGGCGTTGGAGGTGTCTAACACTGGCACCATTTTCTCGCCTCGCTACCAAGATGAAGAAATTCAACCGCCGGTGCCTGGTAACTAGCGCCAATTCAAGCGTCTTTTCTGGGCCTTCAAGCCATGTATTGATGGTTTTCCATACTGTGTTCCTGCGATTCAAGTTGATGGAACATTCCTTACCGGCAAGTACAAGGGTACTCTACTGATTGCCAGCGAAGCAGATGCAAATAGATTAGTATATCCATTAGCCTTTTCCATTGTGGAGGGAGAGAATACCGATAGCTATGGATGGTTCTTCAGAAAAATTTAGCTCCATGTCACCAGGCGGACGAACCTGACTATCATCTTAGATCGCAACGCCGGTATATGGGCTGCTATCTTAGGCTTGGATCCAGCCTGGAACTGGTCACAGAGATGGTGCATACGGCATTTCAAGGGCAACTGGAACCATCATTTCAAGCGAAAGAAGCTTGCTGACAGTCTATGGTGGATCGGTAAGCGTTCTAATTAATTGTTATATAAATTTTTTCAACTGTATAAAGCGAGGACTAAATCAATACAATACAATACAACACTTATTTAGACTCTTTATAAAGAAATGAATGTCTAAGGAAATGGGGACTTAAGCAATCATCGTGATCCCCCCATGACCTGTGAAAATCAGGTTCTACGCGATCCTCAGATCCCCCCCTTTTTCTGTCAAAAAGACTGTGTTTCTAAGGAGATGTATACCTCTCCTAAGAGTCTTACGAGTGTACTTGTATTGGCAATAAGGTCGATCTTGCTTATCTTATGTTTTTTTTTATATTCATCAGCTGTTGCGTACCAAGAGAAGAAATTTAAAGAGAAGATGCGGAATATCCATCAATTATGCCCTGAAGGTGCACAGTGGCTTGATCAACATGACTTTGAAATGTGGACTTTTCATAAGGACGGAGGTCACAGATGGGGTATTGCCACAGCAAACTCAAGCGAGAGTATCAACAACGTCTACAGGGAATGTCGTGCACTCCCCATCTCTGCAATTGTTGAGATGACATTCTATAAAACAAACAGATGGTTCGTCAACTGTCTCCACTGGTGTGAGAAGAGGGAGGCACAGGGAAAGATACACTCTGATTATGCCAAAAAATAATGGAAAAATATAATCGGAAGAGCTCTCGTCACACAGTCACTGTGATGAACCGAAATGATGGCGAGTATTCGGTCGAGACTGGGCACTGGGAGGATGGGAGACGTGGGGGTCATCGCCATGAAGTCGCCGTCAACTTTAGGACTAAAAAGGGGGAGTGCTCTTGTCAGAAGTATCAGGGTAGAGGGATACCATGTTCCCATGCAAAAGCTGTAATAAAGCACAGGAGCAAAGACCCTTGTCATTACGTCAGTCCGTTCTTCAACATTGACTCACAAAAGAGCAGTTATCGTACTAGTTTCCGTGCATTGCTGGATGAAGCTTACTGGCCAGTTTATGAGGGTATGATCATCATTCCACCAATCGGTCTTAGGCGGGAAACAGGGCGCCCGCGGGTAAAAAGGATTCCAAATGAAATGGATCAAAGTGGAAGACCACCGCGAGGGCCAAGGCGGTGTTCCATATGCAAAGTACCCGGTCATGATAAACGAAAATGTCCCGGACCAATTGGTCCTCAAAATGCAGGGCCCAATGTGGTGAACCCGGATAATGGCGCTTAGATTGATTTCATGCTTTTGTTCCATCTTTGTGTATTAATTTCAATGGTTACTCTACTTGTATTTTGTGTGCTTAAATGACATTGGAGATTTGCACAATTAACAAACATTGGTGAAATTTTCCATCTTTTTGAATAAAACACATCACGAACACAAACACACTACATGAAAAACTAAAAAATAAATTCAACTAAAAACACCATTGTTCAACTTAATTTAAACAAAACATAACTTGAAATAAATACAACTTGTCACACTCATGCATTATTTTGACGATTTGCCCTCTGTTTCCTTGTGCGATGGGTGACTGGTCCACCGGGTGTAGCTGATGGTGGAACAGGTGGCGGATTCCTATTCGCCGTAGAAGAGCGATCCTCCGTGCTATGCCGCCTCGGTTCCGTGATAGGTGGCCCCTCCGTCTGTGGTCGAGGGCTATCCACGCTCATACGGTGGGGAGTGGACTGCCATTGTTGTTGCCATTGTTGTTGTGGTCGATTCCAAGGTGAGAAGCCTTGGTGGGGAGTGGATTGCCATTGTTGTTGTGGTCGATGCAGAGGTGAGAAGTCTTGGTGGGGACTTGAGTATGAACCCTCGGCCCAAGTAGCTGAGGATGTGGCGTCATGAAATGTACTTGGCCGTTGTTCATACTGA